TTAGAAATGTCTTATAGTCACTGTTATTTATTTTGAAGATTGCTTTAGTTTTTATTGTGATGTTTTTATTGACCTATAGATTTTTGATAGTTTTTTTTTTTTTTTTTTTTTTTTGTATTGAGGATCAAACTCATGACCTTGTGCTTGCCAGGCAGGTGCTTATGTCACTGAGCTAAATTCCTACCTATAGATTTTTGAGATGAATTTTTTGCTCCTTTTTCAAGACAATTGGGCATTTTGGTTATCTTTTCATTCTTTATGTTTAGCTTTTCTCTCTCTCTCTCTCTCTCTCTCTCTCTCTCTCTCTGTCTCTCTCTTTCTCTCTCTCTCTCTCTTTTGGTCTTTTGAGACAGGGTCTTGCTGTGAAGTTCAGGCTGGCCTTGAGCTCACTTTGTAGCCCAGGCTGGTCTTGAACTTGCAATGATTCTCCTGCTTCAGCCTCCTGAGTGCTGGGATTGCAGGCATGAGCCACTGTGCCTGGTTTGTTCAACTTCTCAAGAAGAAAAAAAAATCATTTTTTTTTCTTTTCCCTTTCTTTGGAGAAAAGAGGGGAAAAAAAGAAACTAAGCTTTTGTAAATAGGGAAAGAAGAGGGGTTGAAGGGACAGTAGGGGAATCAGGGGGAAAACAATCAATATACATCATGTACAGGTACAAATTCCTTATGATGAATGCGATCATTATTTGTACTTAAAATGTACCAATAAACTTAATTAATTTAAAAAAGAAACGAAAATGCATTAACCTCATTAAAATGTTGGAAATAGTCCTCTTAATTGTAAACGGAATAGAAACACATCTTTAGCAAAAGTCCTGAGATTTCCAGTCTATAGAATTTCTCATTTCATTTGCATTTAATTACAAAACATGGATTCTTATGCCTTAATATCTGGAAGTAAACCCTTAAAAAAAACTATTAAAATCTATAATAGTATTTAGAATCTATCTCTAATAATCCAGGTAATAAGCCACCCAGGAGACTGTTGTGGCTGCAATCAGATAATTTTAATGAACCAGGGCCGGAAGGAGCTGGCTGGGTTGCCCTGGAGCTGTTTTGCCATAGGTTTTCTTTCCACTGTAGCTACCCAGGGGTGCTCTGAGAACCTGGGGCCTCACCAGGCCCGCCCCCTGGGAGAATCCAGAACTTCCGGTTCCGGTTCCATATCTTCTTCGGAAAACCCCATTTTGATCCCCAGCTGCTCTCTGCCTACCCTTTTAGTCCTCTTGCAAGAAGCAGTTGCTGGCAGCTGGCTCACCTGTAATTCCTGTTCTTTTGGGATTTGGACCCCATGAGTTCTGAGTGCCAGATTCTTTTCTGGGTCTTCTCGTAGGCTTTGTCGTGTCTCCTGTTCAGCTTTATCAGCTACTTTAAAGTGAGTGTGTACTGTGGTGCCCTCTATGCCAGCTAAAAGTACAAACTTTGGTTTCCATTTTTCTTTTTGTTTGTTTGTTTGGAGACGGAGTCTCACTTGAACTTGCAGTGGTCCTCCTGCCTTTGCAGGAGGCTGCTTCTGCTTCCATTCTTGGTTTGCTAAAATCCATCTCTCTCGGAGCAGTGAGAAGGATTTGATAAACTTTTAGCCAGAGCTTGATGCTTTCCTACTAGAAATACTCCAATGGCTTCTTCTCTCACTTGGAATTAATCCCAACTGCTCTGTACGGTTGCCCTGGTGGGCTCCTGGGTCTCTGCAACTCAGCCTGCCTCTCTCACGCTGCGGGTCCTCCAGCCCCAGTGACCTTCCTGCTCGCTACAGTGCACCAAGCTCTTCGCCCCAGCTGCTGCCAGCTCTCTCCGGAGGATCTTTGCATGTGGGGCTGTCAGATCACATGAGCTCTCAGGGAGGCCTTGGGGGCCACCGCTCTGCACGGAGTCCCTCTCTATCACGCACCTCATTAAAAAGGTGACATTTCCTTCACATTCTTTATCTTCCACAGAAGTAATATTGTTCATTCTTTCTTGTCTTCTTTATATTTTCTCTCACTAAAGTATAAACTTCATATGCAAGGTTCCGTCTATCTAATCTTTTTCCCCCCTCTGTACTGGGGATTAAATCCACGACCTTCCCACTAAAATACTTTTCTAGCCCATTTTATAATTTTCTTTAATTTTTGAGACAGGGTCTTGGTAAGTCACTACCTGCCTAGGCTGGGCTTGAACTTACAATCCTCCTGTCTGAGCCTCTCAGTGTGCTTGAATTACAGTTGTGACCGCCATTTACACATGCCTGAAGCTCTGGGTAACTATCTTTTGAAGGTGAAAGCTGTGAGAATGAGGGGGAGATTAACAAACACCACAGCTCCAGCCTACAGTTTAATAAGAGCTCAATCCACTTGACATGTCTAAGAATCTCCTTTCCGAGTTCCTTGTTTTATTTTGAAGTCTAAGAGTACTCTCTGCAGGGGTGCTCCAAATGTAGTAGGCTGGCCTGTGGAGTCGCTGCTGTTTCTGTTGGGCTTCTTTGTGTAACTATAATCTTATAAATGCTCATTATATCCTTCCAGGAAAATAAACAGACCTGCAAATCAAGGAGATTGTTCCCTGGGTGAAAACAATTCTAATTACAATTAGCAAAGAAGAATTAATCAAATAACATGCAAGTCTCTATTTTAGTTTTCATGTACTATATTTATTACATATTTCTCTTAATTTTTCCTTCTCATTTTAAAATTCTGATAAGTTGTTTAATTTTCTGATAACTTGTTTTATTTTTATTTTTGTGCTACCAGGAATTGAACTCAGGACCTTGCACATGCCAGGCAGGTGCTTATGCTACTGAGCTATAGCCCCAGCCCTGAACTTGTTTTAATAAGTAAAAATATATTTCATGAGCTTACATACATTTGAAAAAAATCACGTAAGACTAATGCCACAGTGACTATTGAAATAAATTAGACATTTAAATCACATGGTGAAGAATGTTCTTACTTTACAGGCAATTTTAGTGTTTTCTTGCTGAATGTTCTTGGTAGGTTAATTATTAAAAAGAAAGTAGGCCGGTTGGGTCTCATTTAACCTTCCTGCCCAAGAACTTAAACACTTGTGTGGACCCTGGGAGAGGGGGCAGGGAATCATCGCATTTCCCAAAGTGCGGTGTGGGACCTGGAGCCAATATGAGCTTTTTCACATAAGAAATGTGGGAACCAGGTGAACATGCAATTGTAATAAGCTCACCCCAGCTGCCATCACTTGCCCCCTGCATCCCAAGAACTCCAATACCATGATCTCATTTGTGATATGCCCCAGTGTCTTTGCACATGCTGTTTCTTCTGTTTGGTATCCCCTATTTCTGCCTGAAAGTGTCCCCTGTCAAGACAAAGTCTAACTGCACATCTTCTGGGAAGGCTATATGTTTTTGACTGTTGCTAAGAACTGTAGTACAACTTATGTGCTGATAATAAAACTTTGTAGTCACGCCAAACTTAGTTCTAATACTAGTTCAGCTAGTCACTACCTATTTAGTTTAAGAAAACAATTACTCTCAACCAGAGCCCTATCTGGGAGAAATATGCTGTGAGAACCATCACTTGTACTATGACACTTTGGAGGGAGTGGATAAATCCATGAATGGATAAACTGTGTCAGAATCCTGTTAAGACAAAGCCAATCTTAACCAAGGATGCAGAAATAATTTCAGGACTGGAAGTGGTTTTAAACAATGTTTCTAGCAAAAACAACAAAAACAAAACATTCTGAAGGTGTAGATTTCACATATTTTCTAAGACTTACAATACCTTTATGACTAAATATTTAAAATAAGTTGCTTAGTTTTTAGTTTGTTTTTACAAATACTCTAAGTTCCTATATCATCTTGTATTTATTTCAGGAATGTAATGAGGAGACGAGAAATAATTGGTGAGAATAGTCAGTACTAAAGGTCCAAATGATTATAAAATTCATGATTTTATGCTAGCAATATTGTCCATGCCTAGAGTCCATTAATGACCAGAGCTAGTAGAACTCTGATTCTCTTCTGCCCACTTCAAAACTTCCTAGAACTCTTCTGTGAAGCCTTGAAAGAGGGGTAATTAAACTTAGGGAGGAGGTGGTGTAATTCAAGAAACAACAAAGCGACTCTGCTTCAAATATCCCAAATACCCCAGAGATGATCTTTTCTGAATAATAAAGGAGCACTGTCTAAAACCAGCGCACTCAGTGGGAGCACATCACCATCCAGATTCAGCAGATAAAGATAACCCAAAGCTCTAATTCAGGATAAATGATCTCTTAAATTTGCGAAACCTATTTTCTGGCTAGCTGAATCCAGAGTTCTGTAACTACAAAGTCATACTTCTAAACCCTGCATCGGCTCTCATGCCCTCAGTCTGCAGGTTGTGACTTCAAGATAAGCCCATGGGCGGAGCAGTCATACGAGTTATAACAATTTTCTGCATGTTGTCTAGGATGGGGCTGTGAGGCTGAGTGTAAGGTAGAACTTTGTTGAAGAACACTCCCTAATTCCGGCAGGCAGAGGAGACACATTTAGGAGTGCAGAAGGGCTTTCATAAATCCAAACAATCTAATCCAGACTCTAAACTGCTTGCCACTGTGAAAAGATGAGCTAAATGGCCAGCCTTCATGTCTATGGAGACCAAGCAATATGTAGCCCAATAAGGATTATTTTAGGGCCTATTGATTTACCAGCTCAGGAAGCAGATGCTTCTAGAATCTCTGGACCTGGTGCAGAGGGCCATATTTACAAGTTGGTACTCTTGTTTGGGGACCATGTGTATGGGATAACTGAAGAAATTGGAATGCTCAGATCACAATGCTTCTCTTCCTGCCTGCAGAACAAAGCATATACTCAATGGAGCTGCAGGTGAGTTTCCTGATGTCCAGAAGGAGTGGACCCTGACCCCTCAGAACTGCAGAGCAGCAACCTGTAAAGCTCTAAAGCGCAACAGCCTGAGAGCCTACAGCTCTGGGACGGAAACACGAGGGCAGGTAAATGTTGGTCCTTTCTTGTGGTCCCTCAGGCTTCTCTCCAGGGCCCCAGCACTCACCTCAGCCTGCCAGATGGGGTTCACCGTGTTGCCTATGATCTTGGATCTCCTCTCTTGCCCATGGTGAGGGAGCGCGGGGAAGATGCTATGTTTCCCGGGCTGGATGGAAATCTTCAGATATGGGTCTGGGTTGAAAAACATCCCTTTCTTCAACCCCATGGCCTGGAAATCTACAAGTAAAGAATGTTTTTCTTTAAGTATGCTTTAGAAAGCTACACATCACATTAGGTCTTGTAGAAGTTTCCACTTCATTGCACACTGACACGTGCAATATGGACCATTTATTGGAACACACTACATTGTATTTTGGTGAGAAACTTTGGTGATAAATCAATCTAACTGGCACTATGGTCACTACACTTTGGACCACTGAGAAGACTATTGGCCTTAGTGGGCTGGATTTCTGCTGCTCCTCAGGAAGGGCGTGCAGTGGTTGAGGAGCTCAGGTTCTCTAAGAAAGATGGTGGGTGTAGGAAGAGGAAATCCAACTTAGGAAATGTGATGGGTCTGAGGTGCAAATTTCCTCTACAAAGTTGAGACATAAGAAAAACAAGGGCTGGAGTTTCACAGTAAATATGGGCTTCACTATGGGAGAAGTAAAGAGAAAGGAGAGGGTTAAAAGAGCAAAGAACTTGGACGTGATGGGAAGAAAAAAGAACACAAGTCTTCCATGGAGCTTTGAGAATTCATGCTGTCAGAAAGCACAGGACACTGACAGTTTGAACTGTTTCATTTAATTGGAGATGTTTGGTCTTACACGACTTCATGAAAGAGAGAGAGAGATCCAACAAGTAATAATGGTTGATAGTTTTTCTGGAATCACTTAAATCACTCTGTATTTATCGGAAATATGTTTATGATAGTGTCAAGGCATATAATTTTTAAGACTTTCCTATCATTAAAGTATCTTTTCTTTGGTCTTTTTGACATAGTGTCTCACTAGGCAGTTCAGGCTGGACTTGGGATCACTTTGTAGCATGACAGCAGTTTGTAAAACTCAGGCTACACTCATAGGAAGTTTGTGGAAAGAAGTTAACAGCAGCAGCGTGACACTGATTGCTTGTTTGTGTGGTGGGCTTTCAGCTAGGGCCTGGGAATGTGGATTTCAAGAGGTCCCTATCACCTTAGAAGTAGTAAGAGTGGCTTTTCCTGTTAACTTGTGGTTTATTGTGGATTCTGTTTTCCTCCTGGGTCTTTGGAATTTGTTACATCTAACACAGGGCGCCCACACAGCCTGCATATCCTTCCTGGCAGCAATCTTACTGGAGTCTCTGATAAGCTTTCCGGGTAGCCAGCATTTCACGCCTGGTGTCACAGCTTGTGCTGGTGGGATTAAGCTTGTCCTTCAGCCTAGATGTCTACTAGGGCTGTATTTGAGAATGTTTTTTGAAAATTGAGAGTTGTTGAGCGCTGATCTCTTTATATACATTTACCTTTTTTCTCTTTTACTACCTGATGATTGTCTTAATCTAAGGACTTATTATCTTTGGCTTAGGAAACTTTTTCTTCTGATTTTGATTCTGTCCCATTTGTTTTGATTTCTTTATCAAAAACAATGACTCTTGTTGGCTCTAGATGTGTCACCCCTCTTTTTCTCTTCCTAAGCCTCCTCATGTTTGACTTTCACTTATGCATGCTAGGAGTGACATTTAAATTAGTTGGTCATGTCACTGACTGCAAATTTGAGTAGACTGTGCTATGTCCTACTTTGAAGAGCTCACCTTTAATTCTGGGTTTGCATTTTTTTGAGTTCATTTTACATCTTTCCTTTACAGTGGTGGACAGAAAAATGACCCCACAAAGATGTTCATGCCCTAGTGCCTGCGGCCTGGGTTACCTGTCCTGGTGAAAAGGATTTTCAGATGTCATTAAGGGCTTTGGGATGGGGACATTAGTCTGAACTACCCAGGGGGGTCCAGTGGAATCATGAGGACCCTTAGAAGAAGGGAACAGTAAAGTAAAGTAAGAGAAGGACAGACGAGAGCCCAGAGTGGTACAGCCTCGAGCTAAAGAAAACCAGGCAGCTTCTAAAAGCTCAAAGAAGTGAGGGATGGGTTTGCCCTGGAGTTCGCAGAAGCAATCAGGCCCCCAAGATTCATTCTGGACTTCTGACCTCCAGAACAATGAAAAAGCAATGGTGTTGGTTTAAATCACTGTCGTGATCACTTGTTATAGCAGCATTAGGAAACACATATACTTGGCTTTCTGAGTTTTGTTTCTTCCAGTTTTGAAGAACGCTCTTACCATCTTTCTCATCTTGGATCTCTTACTTAATATGTTCCCCACTTTCTCATATTTTATTGATAATACAAGCAGGTGAATGATAAACACTTTGGTTCTTTTTAGGACATATTTGCCAACAAGAAAACTTCTTTTTTATCTTATATGTTTTTCCTCAACTTACACATTCTTTCTCCACATACTCTTCAAGTCAAGATTTCTATTATTCATGCATGAAAAGGTCTTTTAGTATGGTGTTTGTCCTTCTTTAGTTTGCTTGTCCAGTTGTTGTTTGTTTTTTTGTTTTCTGGTGCCAGAACTCAAACTCAGGACCTTGTGCTTGCCAGGCAGGTGCTTATGCAGCTGAGCCGCAGCCAAAGCCCTGAAGTTGGAATCCTTATCCCTGCATTTATACTTAGAGCCAACCACTGTCTAGTGAGCTTTCTGATGCTAGACGGTATTTGTTTAGTTATGGGTTAGCTGATGTTTTTATCTTGTCTTTCTCTGAGGTATTGAATTTAGTTCAGTACTTTCAGCAGTGCGTAATCTTATTTTTCCTAGACAAACATAATGAACCAGACACACACTGATATATCCAGCTGCTGAATTTCGTATTTCCATGAGTATTTCCAAATTCTTCCTTTTACTGACTTTATGTCCCAGTCATATTTCATTGCTGGGGATTGTCTTGGAATAAGTGAAGGATTCTAGAAGATGAACCAGTGCCCATCACTTTACCAAGTAACGTTGGGATCCATTTTGGAGTGGTGAAAATTTCCTTTCCTTTGATAGGTCTACGAACCCTGGACTCCATGGCAAAGGCAAACTTGAGACTAAGAAAAGAGACTGGGTCCCTTCCCCAGCTCTGTCCTGCTGTCCTGCTATGTGACATCGCTGTGGGGTTTCAGGACTTCACTGGTGCTTGGTTAGCAACAATTCCTCTTGGTTTTTGGCACATGGTTGTGCAATATTCCCAGTTTTTACTGCTTTTATGGACCAGTACTGAAGAAGAAATCGGTGCCTTATAAAAGGCGACTCTCTTGTCTCTGCAGAGTGCAATAGTTTCTGCACCGGTGAGCAGACTGCCCCTCCCTCCTCCAGCCTGGGCCACGCTGTGATTGGTGAATAAGGAAGCGTCCTAGGCTGGCCAAATAAAGCCTTTCTCCACCTTACTGGTGTGCACTCTTGGTTCTTTACATCATCTGAAAGATCTGGTATCCTGTCTTCCACAGCAGTACTAACAATTGTTATTCCCTAAGCATTTCAGTGGGAATATACAAATGGCAAATCTTGGGCTTTTAGCTTTTGCCCTAGTAATGCAAAATTATCAAACATTTTCTTCCTCTCTGCCCGTGCCTGCCCCTGGAACCTAGACAGATACTCATGTTGCCTATGACCTCTAGGTGCACATGTGCTCTACTGGGCTCGCTTCAGCTTGGAAAGCCCCACTGACTGTCTGTCCATCCCCCAGCGATGCTTGTGGCCCTGGACTTTCACATTCACAGCTGCCACACTCGTTGGTTTGACAAGGTTGTAGTTTCAAGTGGCTTTTTGTGGAGACCTTGGGTTTCATGCTGTCAGGTCCTCCTGAAGATGACTTGGGTGGAATGGATGTGCAAAACCCTGAACTTCATATATCATTTTGGTTAAAGCAGCTCAAAGCTTCTTTTAAAATTATAATTTTGAAATACTTTTAGATTTACAGAAAAGTGGTACAAAGATTTTCTCATAGGCTCTACCTGGTTTACCTCCTTGTTAATGTATTATAGAATCATACTTCATTCACAAAAACTAAACATTAAAAATTAACATTGTTTACCTATTGACTACACTAATATTAATTAAATCAACAGATTTTATTTGGATTCCACTGATTTTTTTCCATGAATGAGATTTTTTTGAGTAGTCTGGCATTCATTCATCTGTTTAACAGACTCTGCTGAAAGTTTTGTTTAGACATGGATTGAGTAGCTGCTTCTTCCCTGGGGTCTCCCCAATTTTTCCTGTATAAACTCTTACTTTCTATTACTTGGCCTTTAGGAAAAGCAGAATAGCTTCCCTTTCTATCATCTCAAAGTATTTTAATACTGGTTATTTACTTGAATTTCTTCTTAGGTCAAGGGGAACTAAGTAGGGTTTTAAAAGAATTTTTTTTATAGTACTAGAGAGTGAACCCAGGGCCCTCACACTGAGCTACAACCCCACTCTTTTTTGATTTTGAGACAGGGTCTCATTAAGTTGCTGCAGATGGGCTTGAGATTATGGCCGCCTTGCGTCAGCCTTCCACAGGGCTGATATTACAGGTGTACACCACCATGTCCAGCAGAAAAGTTAGTTTTTCTTTTTGGTAGGTAGATGGAGAAATTGAGGCACAGAGAGGCTGAATAATTTGTAACTTGTAGCTTGAATTGAAGCAGGTCTGTTACTTCTGGTTGACATTCTTAGTCCCCACTTGAGGCCCTTAGGCAAATAGTACTTACCTGAGAGAGAAAAGCTGATCAGTCTTCGACTTCCTTGCCCTTGGGCCGTCTCATCAGAGCCAATGCTTTTAAAAATCTGTAAAAAGAAGGAAAATGGGGGACAAGCAAAACCAGCATTGAAATGAGTACTCTTATTCCAACACAAACATACTTAATCACAGTTATTTCTCTAGCCACAGACAAGGAAGAGAGCAGTGTTGTGATTTCATTGGACAACTATTAATTAAAAGGAGCTCCTAGCAACCTAGTATCTTTCTCAGGAATAGAGGATGTGCTAGTGGGAGTGAAGGGGAACTTTTCAGAGAAATGGAAATTGACAAACATAATTACCCTAATATTATGGGCCTTTTGTAGTCACTTATGCAAACAAAGTCTTCTCAGATTCAAATTTGCAAAAAGTATTTATTAAGGCAGTGCCTAAAGCAGTAGAATGATAGGCCAATAGATGTTTACTGTTGTAATTATAATGTGTTTCCATTTAGCAGAATGCAGTGTTAAACTGCTGCATCTCCACTTACTATTATTATTTAGGGATTTCTGGGAAACTCAGTTCATTAGGGAGGAGCAAAAACAATAGCATTAAGACGCTACTGGGAAGTCTCTCTTATTTAATGAATTGTCTTCCTGGGGAATTTCAGAACATAATTGTTACATGAGCAAGCTGCAGTCTAGCAGGTATTTGCAGATTGGATTGAGGATCCTTGCTCAATATGTGTTAGTTGGTCAATCAGAACAGCTGGAGTCTTTGCTTCCAATCTCTTCTAGGAAGATTGTATTCAGAAATTATTGAGTGTTTATTCTGAGGCAGAATATGTCTTTTCAGTTATCTTTAAATGTGATGTATGTTTGCAGAAAATAAATTTTAAGATCTGAGTATCAAGCACAATTACACAGTGTCTACTACTTAGAAGATAATCTACACTGAAGGAGAGGAAAGGGGAGAGCACACTAGTGCACACTCCTTTTTGGGGTATGTGTAGGTTTATTCTTTCTTCTCTTGGTATTCTTGATGCTGCAAGCACTGGGAGTGGATGTTCCTACCAGTCTCCTGGGCTTACTGGTTATCAGTAGGGCTCATAGTTTCAACTCAAGGGAATAGGAAGGGACTTTTGGATCACTGCCTCCTGCTGAAACCAGGTGCTGGTGAGTTTGGGAGCTTGGCTGAAGTTTTGGGTGAACTTGGTATGCTCAAGGGTGAATTGCATCTCAGAGATGCTGGGTTGTTTAGCAGTGGGAACCAATGTGGGTGGCAGCTTGGTTAGAGCTTGTCAAACTCTCCAACAGATCTTTGTCTCCTAGAGTCTCACTTGACATGGGCGCAGGGTAAGGCTCGGCTGGGATTGTGTCAGGACACTGTGACGCTGAAACCTTAGCTGTCTCCACCTTGGAGAGCCCAGTGTTTGTTCTTCCTGTTGATTGGCTGGCACTGAACAGTGGTCAACAAACAGCTGCAGCTCCATCTTCAGGATGGATCAGTATTTTAACTCTGGAAGTGGCCAGTCCTGAAGGATCAGAGCTTCTAAATACCTCGAGGTTGTGGATTTTCTTTGTTTTCAAGAATTCTGCCTGGGTGATTGTGATAGGAGACATGGGCAGGCCATATGCTTTACAGAGCTGTACACACACCCTGGTAATGGTTACAGTCCACTAGTGAAGTCTGATTCCAAGTTCTACCTTTAAAAAGACCCATATCTAGTTCATCTTCTTCTTAGAATGTAGGTTCTTTGAGGGAACAACACATATTATAATTTTAATAGAGATTTGTAGGATGAAAGATATATAGTATGTAAAGTCTAATTATATATAATTTTTAAGGTATGGGATTAAACTGTGTACTTCATACTGGGCTAAAGTGAGTTTACACAGACAATGATAATAAGGCATAGTACATTTATTCTTTCCTTTTAAAGGCATACATATTTTTATTTTATTTTATCTCTTTGTTTTGTCTTATTTTTTTGAGACAGGCTCTTCCTATGCATTTCAGACTGGCCTTGAACTCACTCTGTAGCCCAGGCTGTCCTTCAACTCACAGTGATCTTCTTGCCTCAGCCTCCGGGGTGTTGGGATTACAGGCATGCACCCCCACAAACCATACCTATGTAAGTATTCCTCTGCTTGCTATTCAGGGTATTTACAAAGAAGAGTTTTCAACATTACTGCATCTAAAACAGAGAGGAGGAAGGAGTGGAATGTTGATCTATGAGTACTAAGTTATAGTTAGGTGAGAGTAAAGATTTTCTTGTTCTATTATCTGGGGAGGTGCCTATAGGCAATGATAAACTACTGTATATCAAAAAGCTGGAAGGAAGGATTTTTGCATATTTTACCGTAATGATAAATGTTGGGGACATAGGTATATCTACCCTGATTGGAACATTACATAATGTATATATGTACTGAAGCATCCCATGGGATTCCATAAACATGCACAGTTTTATGTGTCAGGTGCAATTAATTCAAATTTTTATGAAACAGGGCTATAAATAGAAAAAGATGTCTATTTTTCACAATTCACTAAACTCAGCGGGGAGACATATGTCATTTAAAACTCCATAAATTCTACCTAAATCTTGTTTTTTAATTGGTCTTTTCATCAAACCAGCTAAGCCCTAGACTGATGAAAATGGAGCCAGAGAACCATGGTGAACATCTTCCGGGGCAAAGAATGATTGTTCAGTCTTGGGAAGGTTTGACATCCTGTTTGAGATGAGTGGCAAAGGCACATCTGAGGCGGTGGAAACTGCTTCTTGGAGAGACACTCTCTATGGTTCGGTGACTGGGAAAAAGACTTAGCTACAATACTTTGAACCTGGAACCACCTGAGGCTGGGCGCGTCATAGAGATCGCTTGTCTCCCTGGGTCTAATGTGATTCCTTGGCCTTGTGGCTTCTCCAGTGATGTCTGACTGTTACTCTAAACACTTGGCACTGCCTTAAGTTGCTGCTCCATGTCAGATGCAGCTCTGATACTTTCTCTGTAGATGTTTTGCACACGACTGTTTCCACAACAAAGCCTGCTCGGCAAGTGGCATGACAGATTTCAAATGGAATCTGTTGGTAGTGTGCAGAAGGTTCTGTAACACATTGGCAAGGGTCTTGGAGTTGCATTAAGGGCTTTGAGGTTAAGTCAGGTGGAGCTAAGTCTCTTACTCCCATTGTCTTGTTCTCTTTTGGGGAAGAATTCAATTCACTAAGCAGTGATGATCACCCTAGCGAGGGACTTCTGTGTTAGCAGTATGAAGACTTAGCTCCGTCAGCCTTTGCTCTCTACTATACTGTTCTAAGTCTTCCTTTCCTTTACACAGATCACTGTGTAATAAATGAGACTTTCTAAGGACACCAGTGATGTCCAATCACACAGACGTACTTGGTTGGTTCCCTTCCTCCACAGGTGTTGTACAATTTCCAGAGGTGGTCACATGAGCCCAGGGCTAAGGATGCCTTCCATAGGTGCAAAATTCAAAATTTTGGGCAAACGCTTTTTATTTTAAAACAAACACAAGGAAATGCAGTGTTGAAAGCAGGATGTGCATGGGTTGTGTAGCTTAAAGAAGGAGATTTTGAAGAACTCTCTAAACCGCTTTCCCAAATGACTCAGCCCTGGAGTTTCTTCCTTCAGGCAAATGCTGGAGTTTCTGTGATTACCTCAAACTAGAAGGGTGGCATGAGGGGAGAGAGGATGTTGCACAGCTCAGGTAGGTGCAGCTGGGTAGGAGGAACAACTTGTAATGTTTTAATGTACACACGATTACTACAGCTTTGTGCCTGTGGGAATGTTGTTCATCATGATAGGGATGGAGGAATGGATTGAGGGTGCTCATCTCTGGACAATTAAGTGAAAGAAGAGGGAGGGGATGAGTTGCATTAACCCCACCAAGGGGATACCTCCAGTGACCACTGGATCTGCCACTAATCTTTAAATCTGCCATGAATCTTTAAAGGTTCCACCATCTCTCAAAGATGCTACAGATTAGGAAACAAATCTTCAGTACTTGAACCTCAGGAGATATTTAAGGTACAAACCACAGTACCCTGTAACTCTAGGTGATTGTGGAATGAGGTAAACACATAAACAGAAGTAAGAGAGGATGTTCCCTAAATTTGTAAAGGTGTTCATATTTCCCCTTCTCCTTCAAACTTGAGGAACTTCAGAGAGTCCTTTAGCCAGGTGGATGCTAAAATTGTAGTAGTTTAATGAATAAAGATCACAGAGAAAGATTTCTACCTTTTAAACCTAAGAAAAATGTAAGTCAGGAAGAGTAATGGGTCAGTACACAAAAGCCTGACTCCTTGATGGCTGAGAGGGGGCCACAGGGGAAGTCTGGGGGGAATGTGCCAGCCTGAGGGTCCAGGGGTTCAAAAAAAGCAGCTGTGAGGGAAAAGCCTGATCCAGAGCTGCCCCTGCCTTCCATATGGCCAGGTCATTTTTCTTTGCTTCCTCAGGAAGACAGTTGTGTAGTTTTCCACACCACTCTTATCTAGATTAATTCACTGTTATTCTTGTCCATGTCTTTCTATGCCCAGTTTTTCAAGGAATTCATGTCATACTGTTGTTTTAAATATTTTTAGGGCCAGGAATACAGTTCAGGGGCACAAGCACCTACTTGGCAAATGCAAGGTTGTGAGTTTGATCCCTTGTACAAAATTTTTTTTTTAAATAAAAAAGCCTTCCTTAGTGAAATTAAAAAAAAAAGTAACATTGCAGTGAACTTATGTTCACTTCCATGCTCATCAGCGGACCCTCTAGATAATGGAGCTGACAAACATTTCTTCCTTATCTGGAAGAGGTCTTGGAGTCTAAGGATTTAAGATGAAGGATTGTAGCATGAAATTAGAGGCAACAGGGTTGAGAATGTGGTGAAGTGGGAAGGGTCACATTAGAAGGCAGGAGAAATATGCAGGGAGTTTGTAGCATCTGTCTGATAACTTTGGGACCAGGCCAGACCTGGAAGCTCATGGGAGAGGTAAGCCTTGGAGCCAGGGCAGCGAGCTTCCTCAGGGAGATGCCCCTCCCTGGGAGTAGACTTCTGAGTCCTGAAAGTTCTCTGGGCTGATGTGGGATGGCTGGCTCCAC